ATAATGCTTATAACGAAGAAGACTTTGCAGAAAGGATAGACTTACTTTCTTTGGCATCAGGAACCATTGCTTACTAGTATTAACGAATCTAATCCATACTGTAATTTCCATCTGAGAGCACTTACAGGCAATGGCAATATGCAGGCTTAAAAAAAGATCAGTTACAAAGTGGCTGTATTGTGCTGATATAAAATGTCACAGGTGAAAAGTTCACTTTCAGACAGTTGTCCTGATATTCACACGTAATTTGGTGATTAATCGATCGATTTTATGGGCAAAAATTGTAAAAATGTTAGATATATAGTTTTATAATCGCTAAAATAACATTTCTGCATAGCATTTGTGTAGCTTTTAATGCATAGAATAGAACTTTAGAGTAGCCTGCTTTGTAATTTTTTTGCTACAACTCAATAGGACTGTTCAAATTTTAAGGAATTATGACTCAAAAAATATAGTATTAATTTTCTTCCATTGAAAATATTGAGTGATTACTGTACCCATTAAAAATCTTTTGTTAAGGTCGACTGATTTGGGGAGGGGGCTTTGGATACAAAGGAATTCATGAACCTTCAGAATGAATCCCTTTCATAAAAGGAGATTGAATAAATAATTTGGTTTATGGAAGGATGATGAAATGCTCCAAAATGCACCTTTTTTTAATGTTTTCAAGAAAAAGAAGTTTAAAGTGAGGAAAATGGAGCTTCATCAGATCTTCATGTTTGATTGGTGAAATGTTGCCCATTTTTTCTTGTCGTTCTGAAATCAAGTTATTTTGACTATTTGTATGTGTACATTTGACACAAGTAAGAGAAAATATAGATTTTTTATTTACGGTGCCCATCATCAATTTGTAACACAATTTTAAAATTGTAGATAATGTGAACCAAAATGACAGTCAATTATTTTGATTCATTCATGCATTATCAACGGAACCCATCAAATGGCTTTGTGCTGTCCTTTGGGAAATCTCAGAATGTAGATTTTCAGTTTATGACATGTTCCACAACTACAAGGCATTTGACAAGTGGATTCAGTGACTGACTTGTTAAAAAATTGATTTTTCAAAGCCACTAGTCTGTCAGCACTACAAAAAAAGTTTAGTGATTGCTTAAGATCATTTTCCATTTTGTAAGATTTTATCTTGAGAGTGTAATTTGCTGGTGGTTTATTAGTTTTCCAAGTGCTGAAAACTTTTAAGGCACAGACTGTTACTGTAGATGTTATTTGAAGCAGAGCATGTTCACTCATAGCAGTGAAATAATCTGATGTAAAAAAAAGTAAAAGTGAAAATGAATCAAAAATGAAAAGAAAAGTTAAATCAGTAAAGATAAATTATACATGTCAGTATATTGATAATAATTATAAGAAGAAGAATACTAAAACTTAGAGTTAAACATGACCTATATTGGTACGTACAGTTTGATTAATATATCACTTTCTCTTATCTAAATATACTTTAAGTAAAAAAAGTTTCTTTTGTTTTCAGAATAATACTGGAATCAGCCTACAGTTTGTATGACAGAACCTTCTTTGACAATGTGGGAACTGTCATGTTCTATGCAGTGATTGTAAGTGCCATGTAAATAAAAATTGCACACTCATTTCTCACTTGGCACAATTTGCTGACACACCCAATTCAATCAGCTGTCTCACCCAACACAATCTGCTGTCACACCTAACACAATCAGCTGTCACACCTAACACAAATCATCTTTACACTTAATATCTTTAACAGGAACTGGTACACCCAACACAATCCACTGCTGCATTTAGTGCACTCACAGTGCACACCTAACACATTTAGCTGTCACAGCCAATGAAATTGTATTGTATAACCTGATCATAATGAAAACAGAGGTCCATCTGGCCAGATCTATATGTGTGTCTGTCTTATTCAACTGTTATACCCTGCAAGATCGTAATGTTAAGTGGAGTGTTTCATAGAATCCAAAGTTAAAAGTGACATTTTACATTATTGCACCACTTAAATACACATTTATTATTTTGTGTTACATCTAGTATACAGCATTGGTCAAAAAGGTTGTCCCACCCCCATTTCCATGTACTTTTATTTACAAATGATCACCTTACAGCTGTAAATAGTTAGAAATAGTGCTTTTTATTACGGATATCGTGTCTAACATGATTAATGGTTTAAAAAATACAAAATAATGGTGAAAATATACATATTTTATACCATTTAGTAAAATTTACCCCCTCAAATCGACTGTTTCACTGTGACTTCTTCAGATGTAAAGAAATGTCTATAAAATTGAAAAGACGCCATCAAATGTCACCAAATTCACACACAATTAGCATTAGTGTGTGCTCGTTAAAGAGCACGTGCCTAACAGCGTGTGCGTCTACCGCGTTCTGCAATTATCTCCTGTGGACGGCGCGACAAGCCTTCAACACGGGTTACAATTCTGTTTTGTGGGATATTGTCCCATTCTTCTTAAACAAGTTGGGGGAGTTGGTCCACGTTTTTATGGGGTTGGTTCTCCATTGCATTGCACACTTCAATTCATGTCACAGTTGATTAGTAAGTTTAATATCAGGGCTCAAAGATGGTGGTTCCAACCTTAGACCATTGTGTTTCTTCAACAAACACTTGCCAGGCGAGAGGTTTGACTAAGTGTGCAGTCATGACAAAGCCTGGAGTTAACCCCAAAGTCAGTTCTTGAAGATGGAATGAGATATCAGCTGAGAATGCTACGTTCAGTGATCCCACAGGCACCTGAACCTGGCCATCCATCACTGGAAGGAAGTCGATTTTGATGCAGAATCAAATTATTTCTTGTATCCCATCGATGGTCAAAGAGGGTCCATAGACGTTAAAAAATGCCTCTTGGAAGGGTGTGTGCAGGGTAATATCGCCTGAGGTGTTAGATCAATCCGCATTTGGAGAACATTCCAAGCCCATGGTATTAGTACATTGTTCCTTTTGGAACAAAACGTAACAGGGGCATTTTAATGTAACATTCTCAACAGAAATCTCACTCCATTTGCAAGAGGTGACTTCAGGGATGCTATTGGCTTCATTTTGACAACGCACTTGCTCACAGCTCTCGTCTGGCAAACGATTTGTTGCAGAAACACAGGGCTCAGAGGATGGGACAACAGTCTTTGAGTCCTGATATTAATCCTGCTGAGCACCTGGGGCATAAATTGGAATGTGCATTGCAGAGAAGAACCAATTCCTGAACAATCTTGACAAATTCCGCCACGCTCTTTAGAATGAATGAGACAATATCCCAGATAACAGAATTGTTACCCATGTTGAAGGCTTGTCGTGCCGTCTACAGGAGATAATTGCAGTACGCGGTAGACGCACACGCTGTTAGGCACATGATCTTCAACGAGCACACCCTAATGCTAATTGTGTGTGAATTTGGTGACATTTGATGGCGTCTTTTCAATTTTATAGACATTTCTTTACATCTGTAGAAGTCACAGTGAAACAGTCGATTTGAGGGATTACCTCTTATAAATTTTACTAAATGTTATAAAATGTGTATATTTTCACCACTATTTTGTATTTTTTAAACCATTAATCATGTTAGACACGGTATCCGTAATAAAAAGCACTATTTGTAACAGTTCACAGTTGTGAGGTGATCATTTGTAAATAAAAGTACATGGAAATGGGGGTGGGACAACCTTTTTGACCAATGCTGTATGTTGAAGATTAATAAAAAAAACACCATGTTGATTTTGTATAAGAAATTAATTTGATTGAAAATTCAAGTATTAAGATCACATTATTGGTATAAAATGCCCAAGCTCTCAGCTTTTGCGCCTTCTTCAGGAATAAACCAATCACTTTTGATTTGATGTAGTGTAATCAAGCATAAGATAAATGGCACAGGTTATTTTTTTTTTTAGTTCCTGGAAAAGGCACATGAGCAGAAAGCTTGGGTTATTTATACCAAATATTGATGATCTTTATTAATGTGTTTTCAATCTAATTTATTAATCTGCTATATGATGGTATGTTAACCTTTCTATACGTTTTGAAACATATTTCCATTTATTTTAGGGCACAGTGATTAATTGTTTTCTAATAGGTAAGTTCATTCCACTAATGCTCTTTTGATTTATTGTGTTGCCACACAGTGTAAGCTAAAGATAAATAGTGCAGTGTTGTGGATAGGATTATTGTAGATGCAACAGTTTGCTTTATCATATCAAGTATAGAGAGAAGTGTACAGAGAAGTGTGTTAGACCTTAACAAAAGATAAATAATATATTGTATATATTTAATAATTATAAGATAATGATAATAATAATCATTTTGTTCAACACATCCAAAACTATTGATAAAGCTATGATCTATAAAGCTGTTTTTGAGTTCTAAGCTTCTAATTTTTGAGGTGCTCACATAATGGAGACTTCAAATGATCAAAATCGTTTGTAACAGTACAACAGAATTGGGTGTGAACTTATCCAACGCATTTTGCCATCTCATCTAACACATTTTACTCCAGGTTCATACCTTTTGTACTAAATCACACCTAACACAATAATGTACTTTTATCTTACAAATGTTGCCATACCATCTAACACATACTGCCCCAGGTCCAATATACTTAATACTGTATCTCACCTAACACAAAAATCTGTTTTTACCAAAATATTTTATCATCTCTTCTAACACGTTCTGCTCCTGGTCCAAAACCTGTAACTGCTTAATCACACCTATTGCAATAATATGATCTCTTCAACACATTGTGTCATCTCATCATACACATCTTACTTCTGGCCCAATACACTAAATACTGTTGTACCTAATACAATAATCTGTTTTTATTTTATTTATTTATTTATTTATTTATTTATTTATTTATTATTTTTGTTATTATTTTTATTCATTTATTTTATTTATTTATTTATTCATTTATTTTATTTATTTATTTATTCATTTATTTATTTATTTATTTATTTATTTATTTTGCAAAAGAAAAAATATTTTCTCATCTACCACATTCTGCTGCAGGTCCAACCCTGTATGGGCTGATGTCAGTAGGGGCCATGGGGGACGACTTCTCAGTGACATTTGTCCAGTGTCTTCTGTTTAGTGCTCTCATAGTGGCAGTGGATCCAGTGGCTGTAAGTAAACAGCAGTTACTGAATAATAACAAAATTGATTGTTATCCATAAGAATAGGGCTCTGTTTATTTGTACCTAAAGATGTTGATTATAAATAATACAATTATGCAAGGGAATTTGGATTTATGAAAGTACATGTATGTTTGTGAGCCAAAAAGAAAGGAAAAGAATAATGAGGTGATTAAAATGTGTGACTTTTCAATTTCTGTTCATTTCTGTCCAGCTGTTTGTCGATGTTCTGTCTGTCCATCGTGTGCCTTTTTCTTTGTGTATTAGAAAACCCAGGTGTTTGTCTTTAGGTCCCTCTGTCCATTATAGCTTTGGTCAATATATGCATTTTATGATAGATCTTTGCATTTGGATATATGCATCTCTGTAAGAAAGAGAATTAGGGAAGATTTCAAATATGAAAGAATTGAAATCAGTATCCTTATAGTGGTCACTCTGTGCAAACATTTATCTAAAATGTCTGGTATCTACACAGAGAATAAATAAATAAATATGTTTTTGTCAAAATATCTAAACAAGACTAGATAATATTTCCAAGTTTTAAAAAACTGATGCTCACATTGTCAACAAAAAATTATGAAAGCAGCTTCCAAGTTCTTTCAACCATCACCAATAGCCTTGATCAATATGAGACACGGTATTGATGACATTATTCTTTTGGCTGGAAGTAGAAAAGACTGGAAATTACCCAAACCTTACCTGAATAGGATGGTTTAAAATGGGTAATCCTGTTTTATTACATCAGATGATATATGAAGCCATTTTACTGATTGTATCTCTGACTGCATCCATTGATCAAATAACGACAGACTGTGCAATATCATGGTAAATGTTTTTGGCCCAAGGGAGATAGTATTGTCTCTTTCCAATTAGCAACATTCCCTGTGGAGCACTTTGTGTATTTGATGTTACTTTTACTAATTGATTTTTTATTTTATGTACGAGCAATGTTAAATTTTTGGCAACTCTGGTTACATTGTTAGTAAATTTGGCGAGGGACTAAAATTTAAATTTCATGGTTGGTAATATACCTGCTATTACAAATTAAAGCTTTATCTGACTTTGAGAGAGAGAAAGAGAGAGGAAGTGCTGTTTGGCTATTTGACAAGTGCTCAGTCTTTGATTTTATTATAGTTCCCAAACT